AAGCTTTAAAACGCTTTTTTTAAATTTGAATTTCATTCATTATTGACGAAGATATTGTATATACAACTTTGAGCTAAAAAATACGCGATGACTTTTTACTCAACCTAATATATATAAACTGAATATAATTAGTTTTCTTAACAAAGCTTTAGGTTGCCCATATAATAATTATCGAAATTTACTACGATAGCGGAATATTTTCTATCAGCAAATCTTTTTTTCCTTTGTGTTACTTCACCTTCTGGAAAAAGTAACTGATATCGATCCTTCCGTTCAATTTGAGTTTTCTTATATATCTCTGTTGAGTCTTCCTAATGGAACATTCAGTCTCAGTGGACATCCAAGGACGAACCGAAATTTTTGCGAGTGCAGCATCGCCAGAGCAAAAGGTGCAATTCGATGAATATGGTTACCAGACAGTGCTTATCCGATTCTCATATTTTTCGACACTCGGCCGGCCAAACGGTCGGATATTAGATATCCGGTTATCGGCTGGTAGTCATTTCCGGTCTATACTCAGTTAGCATTTTCCCATTGGCTATTCCGCGAGGTACCTCACCGTGTATTAGCTTTGTCGAGGAACGCCGAGGGAATAGATGATGCTCCTGATTTGTTGCTATTCCGATGTATCGAAAAAGTTATCCATTCATGGCTACAAAAACATGAGACATCCACTATCACATCGGTTTAGAACGGGTTTTAATAACATTAAAGTACAATATGAGTAATAAGGCGAGCATTGTGTCAATTTTTAATTTAGTAATAATAGTAATAATAATAATAATAATAACTTTATTGAGTGCAACTGTTATTAACATTAAATGTAAAATAAACAGATAAAAATACAGTAATATTTGATATCGAGTATCAGGTAGGGCAATAGCTAAGCAGCTGATTTGAAGCCATATCTGAATATCAGAATAAGTAAGTTTTAGATTTTAACTGAACAAGTAAATTCAAAACAGTTAATATTACGAATACACGAAATACAGACTATCTTTGAAGTTCTTGAGATCTTCCAGAATGAAAGATGTTTATAAAGATATAGAAATATATGGTATAGAATATATTTATTATGCAATTATATATCTATGCATTTATATATATATATATATACCTTAAATCCTCGAAACGATTACTATTCCATTAATAGGGAGTTTTTGCAATACCGTTTATCCAAATCCGGTGAACGTCAAGATTAGGTTATCTTCTTATTAACAATAATAAGGAAAAGGATAATGTGACTTTAGCGTTCACCGTATCTGGATTCACGTTATTGCAAAAACTCCCTATTAACTCTTCAATAATACGATAGACCTATGGCTTCATCTATTTTACAGCTTGCATACATTGTTTAACAGAGAGGAAGATGTTTCTTATTACATTATTTCATTTCTATTTCACACATCTTGTACAATACATTGATTAAATAAATTAATACAAAGCAACGGGTCGCGGATGAAATCCTGTTTTCCTGAATATCTGAACATTCATCTTGCCACTAGAGGATTGGAATAATGATGTAATAATTGTCGTAATCTTAATTTAAGATTTAACTCATAATCTTAATTTAAGAAATTAAGTCTATTCTTTAAGAAAAACGTATCTTAGGTAGATTTTAAAACTTCTTTTATATAGCTTCTTTTTATACTAGAAATTAAATCATGCAGACTTTTCTTTTTTCGATTCGTCACTAGCAGTGCCGTCGAACACAATCGAGAATGTCCCATCGACGTGACATCGAGACTACGAGAAAGTCCAATAATCTGAACGGCAAAAAAAGAAGGCAATAGCGCATAGTCTCGAATATTCCGTCGGCGTGGCTGTGGGACTCGAGATTTATCGTCGTTATTAAAACAAGCGCGGTGATACACGAGCGATCTCTGGTCGGGCGAACGTAGACATTATTCAAAGGGAACAAAAGAAGTCTAGATTAATCGGTAATTAAATCGACGGCGGAATACCGCGGTATACTGATACGCGCGCTCCCGCGACTTGCTTCTCCCGATTTTATCGGCCTGATTCGTGGGTTGATGCATTTGATGTATTTGATCATCGATTGCGTGTATTGCGCGGTTTTAATGGAGCGTCTCGTTTTAATAATAAAAATAATCCGATACTTTATAGCGTCATTATAAATCCTTGCGTAACGTAGATATCTGCGATCACGGAAAAATAATCTGTTTGAAACATGCCAAAGAGAGATAGAAAAATCAAACTCGTTAACCTGGGAATAGTGGACGATTTTTATATACTAGCAATAAAATGTAAAGCTCAATCTTTCGTAATAGTTTTCTTTACTGATAAAAAATTTACACACATTTTTTTATTTCTTCTTACTTTTTTTAAAAATATTAATAAATTTATACATTATCTAAGTATTTAAAAACATAAGTAAATCTACATTAAAAATATCAAGTAAATCTGAAATATTTATAAATTATGTAATACTAAATCAATAATATATGATTTATATATAATATTATTTATTGTTATATAATAATGACTTTAAATTGAGATGTAAAAAACATTTCTAGTGATTTTACATAAAAAAAGGTGGATATTCCTGGATTAATATATATGTCGTCGAGTATAATAAACACAAAAAATATTTTAATTCAATAATTTACATTAATGCTCTATTTCTTCAAATTGCTTTCATTCCTAAAGAAGCACGTTCTCGTCGCAATCATTCTTGAATATGGAACAAGTAACGAGTTTTGTGACACGTACGTAACGCAATATGCTTATGCATAACTGACATAAGGAATGAGCAAATCTATAATTAACTGAAGGCTTCTCTCGTTGAATACACAAACGGGTAATGATTCCAGTGAAGCAGAACCGGTAAAGGATGCACCGCCAAGTAGGATTTATACGTAATGTGCTCTTGTATGACATGTATTATCACGGAAGCATAAATTACGACTAAGAATTTAATTATATGCAGATGTATCACATATTCATCAATTTAAACAATTATTCAAACAAAATAAAGTGAATTTGCCCGTGTCGCGCAAATATGCCACCAGTAGAGATTCATGTGTTTAAATTTAATTACAACTGGAAATAATAGTATAAGAATCGATCTCCATCCTTCTTTTATATATGACTGTTGGTTGGCTATAATCGGCAGTAAAAGCTAATTTATGAATTTTCACCTCTCAACATCGGCGAACATTTGTATTATTAATGATAAATTTCAGACATCTGGAGGACATAGACATTAGCGCGATTTCACATTTGTTACAAATCATGATTAATAACATATGTTAAATAATAATAAGTTATCATCCAACACGGATGTCAATAATTTTATAACAATATTAATAAAATGAATGAGAGTATTAAGAGCGATCGCATTTTATTGTAGAGAATGAAAAGGATCGATTCATCGGGACAAAGTATATATATATATATACATATATATA